ACAGAGAGAGAGAGAAAGAGAGAGAGAGAAAGAGAGAGAGAGAGAGAGAGAAAAAGAGAGAGAGAGAGAGACAGAGACGGAGAGAGAGAGAGAGAGAGCGAGATTCAGAGACGGACGGACGGGCGGACGGACAGATAGACAGACGGGCAGGCAGGCAAAGAGAGAGAGGGCTGAGACCCGAAGCTCCCCTCATAGGATTTGGGGATTAGGGCTGAGGGTTTAGGGCTGAGGGCTTCGGGGTTGAGAGGACCACGCCGAAAAGAAGCCTTCGCCTTGGGCGCCACCTTCGCCCGCAAGCTGTCCCGAGCCTTCCGACCTCACGACGCGCTTGGGGCAGGGGTGGGGCCTTTGGGCATTCTTGGGGGTCCCTTGCAGGTTCTTGGGGGCTTACCCTTAAAGCCCTTGAGGGCCTTGGGGGCCTTGTGTGCCTTGAAAGCCTTGGGGCCTTGCTTGCGCTGGATAGCTCGAATTCAGCAAACAGCCCAAGAGCCTCAAGCCTCAACGCCTTGAAAAAGCCGTCAACCACCTTCGAAGCCCCCCATATACCCTAAACTCTAATCCCTAAACTCAAGCCCTAAACCCTAACCCTAAACCCTAAGCCCTAAGCCCTAAACCCTAAACCCTAAAACCCCAAACCCTATAAGCCCCTTACAAAAGCCTGGATGAACAAAAAAAACGGGGCCCCGACGCTCCTCCTCGGGCGACCAGGTCCTGGGTTGGCGATGTTTTTGGGGGGTGTGGAGTTTGGAGGTTTGGGGTTTGGGGTTTAGGGTTTAGGGCTTAGGGCTTAGGGCTTAGGGCTTAGGGCTTAGGGCTTAGGGCTCAGGGCTTAGGGTTTAGGAGAAACTTGTGCGTGGTTTGTGTCCGCAGTTTTGACCAGCTTCTTCTTTTGGTGCTTGCTAGCAATGCTGACCACTCTCGCCCCCCCAGAGGTAAGAGTCCTTTTGCTGTTCCGTACGCTTTTTGTTCAGCAGGCCTTTTTGTGACTCACGCAGCTGGCCAAGAGAATAAAAAAGGAACACACTCGGGGCGCGCCGTTTTTGCTCGGCACGCGGCTGGCCCAGCAAAAAGAAAGACCTCGACGTTCTTCATGTTTTGCTCCATGTTATGGTGTGTGTCCGTAGGTTCTGGGCGTTTGGGGCGCAAGTGGTTTTGCCCTCAACCCCAAACCCCAAACCCTAAACCCTAAACCCCAAACCCTAACCCCAAATCCGGTCTTTGGTGCCTCCCACGGGGCTCTTCGCCTCCCGGCGACCTTTGAAAACTTCTGACCCTCAACCGGAAACCCGAAACCCTAAACCCTACACCCTTTGGACCTAAACCCTAAACCCTCAACCCTCAACCCTCCCTCAACCCTCAACCCTAAACCCTAAACCCTAAACCCTCAATCGACCCGTCAGGCCCCCTAAGAACGTCTCTCTCTGGGCGAGCTTCGTCGCGCAGTTGGGGCAGAGGTCGAAGCGGCAGAAGCTGGCGGCAAGTTGAGGGTTGGGGGGTCTTGACCCTTAGAAATAGAGAAATACAGTAGACATGTAGGGTTTGGGGTTTGGGGTTTGGGGTTTGGGGTTTGGGGTTTGGGGTCTGGGGTTTGGGGTTTGGGGTTTGGGGTTTGGGGTTTAGAGCTTACTTGGAGGTTCATGGGTACTCCTAAGCAGGGTTATAAGTAGGGTGAGGTTCTCGCCCTATTTGGGGTACTTATGACCGTGTTTCTACGTACGCATGAACCTGCAAGTAGGGTTTCGTGTTCTAGGGTTTGGGGCCTAGGGTGTAGCAGATTTGGTCAGCTGAAGGCCACAAGTATGCAAACAGGCCGCCCACCCCAAGACCGCCAAAACACCATTCAGCCACAGCGAAAAGCGTAAGCTCACAGGTAAAGACTCTGTGTAAGAATGGCTGTCGGGGCCCGCAGAAGGGCCCGTTTAGGGTTGAGGGTTCAGAGTGGGGTTTAGGGTTTAG